AGCCTCACTCTTGGCCATCAAATCATTAGCGGTGTTAGAAACTTCTTCTAAAGCATCTAAAATACTAGAAAGTTGAAAACGTAAAGCTTTCACGCTATTTATACGACTTTCCCACCTCGTTTCTGACCATTGTTTAACTGTGAATTGTGTACAATGCTTTTTAATAATACTCCAGCGATATGTTGACGCAGAAAATAATGTGTAAACACGTCGAACTATACCAAAAAATGTAATCGCTATTGTTGAGTTTTTAGCAGAATCGCAAAGGACTAAATTTAAATTATGGGCAGCGCAAGGAGTAAAAAATGCTCGAGGATTTATATTTAAGATACGGTTTTGAACGCCTTGATATTTTCCTGTCATGTTCGATCCGTTATCATAGGCCTGGCCTCGGCAATTTTCAATATTTATTTTGTACGATTTAAGTTGTGCGATGAGAACATCTGATAAATTTAAACCAGTAGTAGAATCAACTGTCACAAAATCTAGGAAATATTCTTGTATACTAGGCGTACTGTTTTCATTTTCTTCATCCATATGTACTATCCGCAAAAGAATAGCAAGTTGCTCTTTGTGTCCAATATCTGGAGTGCAATCCATTATGACCGTAAAGTACTTTGCAGACTGTATGTTTTTTATTATTTTTTGCTTAATTTCATTAGCCATCATATTAATAAGTTCATCCTGTATTCTGTGACCTAGATAATGGACATGTGTTTCTTTATTTTGAATTCGGCTTACATGTTCCATGATTACTGGATCGAATTTCGCCAACATTTCTATTAAGCCAAGAAATTTCCCATTACTTTTTGTATAAATAACATCTGACGAACCTCGAAATGCATCATTATGAGCAGCTAAATAATGAATAACTGATAAAATTCTGTTCAGTACATTTGTCCAATGAATTTTCTCCTTTTCAATAATAGACAAGTGTTGTTGATTAACAGATTTTTCTTTCAAAATTCTTTTTTTTAATTCTGTCCAGGCTTCAATGGATTTAAAATGTTGAACAGAACGCTCATGAGTTATAAGTTTCTCAGGCAAGTGTTTCCAGTCATTTGTCCCGATAGTGCTTAGATGATTGAGATGGGGGTTTTCAAAAGAGAAAAGCTTACAACTATAACAAAACACGCAGTTTTTCGAAATTGAATAAATAAGCCAAACTCTATCAATTTTTTCACCATTAATTAAATTTCTTTTATACATATTTTTGGTAAATTTTCGTTTAGAGCCATCATCTTGGAGAGTCGTTGGAAATTCATAATCCATTAAGCGTATAGGTCCTAACTTTATTATATCATATCTTATTTGATCGTCTATATTGCTCGGCCAGTTTCCAGGGTCACTCCATATATGTGATTGATTTTTTAAACAATCATTATTATCAATAATATTCTTTTCAATAAACTTATTATTTTTCTCTAAAATATTGTTTTCAGTTGAAGTCTTATCGTTATCAATATTTATAATAGTTGGTGTGTTATCTAAATGTAACGAATTTGATTCTTTTGGATTTTCAATAATTTTGGTATCTTCATTTTTAGATGTAGACGATGTAGTTAAGAATTTGTGCATAGTACCCCGGTGTTTCTGCATTAACTCTTCAGCCTTCCGTTTTTTTYCCCGTTTTACATTTCCTGACTCATATTTTCGAAACTTGTCACGTTCGCGACTAGTCATTGTTTTTTTATTACTTTAATAATAACCAAACACTAGCGACTAGCCAATAATCCTATCAATTTTAAACGTATCAATTAATTATTATTTAAATTAATTTCATAAATTGAATATCCAATAATTATATTATTTAATAAAATTGATATCGAATACGACAGGTAAAAACCGTGTAATATCCTATCTTAATGTGATGACTACCTAGAGAACGGATTTAAATTCTTTGAAAAACAAGAAAAATGTCTAAAAAAAATATGATTTAATGCACTCAAACAGACACTTATTAAAAAAATTCACTAATAAATTCTCTTAAAATTATTTTTATTTTTAACATTAAAAAAATTCTTATTCTTATATGTATACATATGTATTTAAGTGTCTATATGTGTCAAAAATAATTTCGTTTGACAACCCGTATTATAGGTGGTTACGATGCGTCGATGCCATATTTATCTAATCGGTAAAAACATAACAATTAATAATAAAAACAGAAGTATGACAAGGCAAAATAAATAATATTAATTTTAACTGTATTCTTTTAGAATGAATTTTAACTYAACTTTTATAAAATGTTATCCATTCAGCATTCTTATWTAAAAAATAATTTAAGAACATAAAAATGTACGAAAAATGTAAAAAAAAAATCAAATCCGTTCCCTATTGTTAACCTAAACTAAATGGTAGCGACGCGAAGGCGCGTAATGCGTATAATCCAGGGATGGCAATTTACATTATATTTGTAAAAACTGTAGGTACTTCTATAGTCCTATATACGTTTGTAATTGTACAGTTGTACATTACACGTTATTCTATATTATACGATCTACAATTTTCCAAAGATAACAATTCAAGTAGAGAATAATAATTATAACAAAAATAACTTAATAATATAGCTTAAAAAGTTATATGTTATTTTAATTAATTGTATTTCAAGTTGTTTTCTCMGAACCGACAATTTCGTTGCCAACATGTATGTATAAGAGGGCGTTAAGACCCATTTTTAAAATCTTTATTTTTGTAAATTTTAAAATCCTCAAAACAGTCAATTTACTTAAAAATAAAAATATA